GTGGCCGGGAGCGGCCACTGCACTCCAGTCTGGGCGACAGACTGAGACTCCAACTCCAAAAAAAAAAAAGGAAGAAAAATCAGTTGGTAATGAAATTATGACATATCCTTCTGATTTTGGAAAGGGTAAAATGGGGAAATTACATCTCATAGAATCAATAAGATATAGTATATTAGAAATTGTTAATTTGGGGAATTTGGAGTAAATTTCATCTTTCCCCCTGATTTTGTAGTTCATTGGAAGAAACAGGTAAATCCAACAAACTGCGTATTAGTAGGAGTGCATAAAGCTGAACATGGTGGCCTGTTCTGAACCACACACCAGTCAATACCATGCGGTCCCCATCTAGTCCTTGCAGGATGTTTGCCCCGTATCTATCCCCTCATGACATGACGTTATTTCATATATATATTATGACTTTTGTGTTTTCTCAGCTCTGACCTGCAAAATATTATTTGTCAAGATTCCAGGTGAACACTAAAATTGATTTAAAATGACCAAATATACATTTTTGTTCTGGATAAACCTCTGCCATCAGACCCTCTACACCACACTAACACGTTATTCTTGTAAGTCCTTTGGGCCCACTGCTTTGATTTTCTTGAAGATACTCCTCCTCCAAATTTTGTGGCTCTTAGTCTTGGGTGACTGAGAATTACCTGAGAACTTACAGAAAAAAAATGCAAATTCTGGAGCATGAGTCTGACTGGACATGGAAATACTCATCTTAAAAAGCATTCTAGCCGGGCTCGGTGGCTTAGTCTGTAATCCTGGTACTTTGGGAGGCCGAGGCGAGTGGATTGCCTGAGCCCATGGGTTCGAGACCATGCCAGGCAACTTGGTGAGACCTTATTGCTACCATAAATCAAAAATTAGCTGGGCATGGTAGCACATACCTGTGGTACCGGCTACTTGGGAGGCTGAGGCAGAAGGATCATCGGAGCCCAGCAGGTTGACTCTGGGGTGGTTGTGAGCATGCCACTACACTCCAGCCTGGGTGATAGAATGAGACTCCAACTCGGAAAAAAAAAGCATTCTAGGCACTAAGAACCATTGCTAGGAAAATGGGACCCTTGTCAGGCCCATCTGGCACATGACCCTGGGGAGAGGAGATGGGGGAAGTACTCTATAGTAACAGGGATACAATTTTCCTAAAGTCTGAGGAATAATTGTAAGGTTTCCTCAAAGCACATGTACTCTCTCATTCAAGTTTGGCCCAGATAATTGTGGGCACTGAGTTAGATAGCTGGTAACACTACAGTCTTATAAGTGCATTAACATGTACTTTTATCCCAAGAAGGGACAGTGCATCTTGCCTGGCTTGCAGGTGACTTGAATTCATAAGCTCAAAAGCAGTTAGGTGATCCTAGAAAGAGGGTGGAAAAGAAAAATTAAGTTTCTGGAATGAATTTGGCTCATAAAATGATGAGATCCAGCAAATACTAATGTGCTCACATCAATGTCCAGTATTTTTAAAAGATAAGATGCATTTTTAAAAAGTAGCTTCATGAAAAGAAATAGAAGCAATGACTCTTTCTTCGTGTGTGAAAACTGATTGAGCTTGATGTGAAAATAATCTAGAGAGTAGGAAATAAAAAAATTGTTTATTTTATAATTATCAGTTGATTTTTAAATTACACTAAGTTATCAAAAAGCTGTCTGGCAGAAAGAATCAAGTCTAACCTTCCCCCCCGCGACCCAAAAGCAATTTTATTTCTAAAATAAATGCAAAAATGTCTTACGTTTATTGTTAAAGATTTGTCTTCCACCCACGTCAATAACTTTGGTTTGTCTCCTTTCCCCTGCTAGATGCTCCAGTAGAAACCTGTCCAGCTCTTTGTAGGTGTTGTGGAAAACGCAGCCTCGCTCAGCCTGCAGCGCAATGGCCTGCTCCAGCCAACTTAAGTTCCCCTTGGCTTTCTCCAGGTCACTAGAGTCTTCTGTCACTGTTGCCAGGCTCTCGGCCCCTTCTTTCTCAATCTCAGGGAAGGAAGGCTGGGGTTTGCCATCCAGGGATTCTACATGAGCATTCTTTTCCGTTTCAGAATCACACCTGTTCTCACAAGGGATAAATTTCTCACCTTCAGTTTTTATGTCGGGAATTTCTAGTAGGTCTTTTTTATGATCTGCTAAAACATACTTTGGAACCCTAGGTGGTTTGGTTTCTTCTGACAAGTTGGAGCCACTGTCCCAGCCATTCTCTGCACTTTCTGAGTTACTTTCATTGTCATCGGAGGAGTAGAACGCTGGCTGGGAATCCTCGATTTTGTCTCTTCCATCATCAGAGTGAATCATAAAGCACTCGTCCGCTTCGTCACTCTCTGTTTTTAAAGACTGGATGCCACTGTCATTTAAGTTTTCACCTACGGGCTGAACAGACATATTTTTTTCAAATTTCCCCAAGTGCATTAAAGACTTCACCACCAGTTCTTGATAACAAGAGTATCTGTCTTCCTTCCTGTTGGCGTTTTCTTGTGCAGTTGAATGAAGGTTTTCATCCATAGATTTAATCATGATTTCTTCTGCAAAAAAAGAAAACCAATATTTGAAAAGCAAGAATAAAAAGTATTTTAAGCAGATCGCATCAAGTTATATATATATATATATATATATTCACATATTTGTGTGCATGCATACCCGTATATAATATGTGTAGTATGTTGTCTCTATTAACTTATAAAAACATTGGTGAAAAATTATGTATCCTCTTAAAATAAAACAAGACTTAGATCTTAATCCTGTGAAAAATGAGCTTAAAAATGAGCTATTGTAGTTTTCAACACAGTAAGAGCTGAGTGCTTCTAGGGCACTGAACAAGACAAAAAGTAGATATCCACAAAAATAGTGTGTTGAATGTGAAATTATTGTTACTGTACCCTTTATAGTCTCAAATCTTAACCAACCAGAAGGAAATCCAATATACATAATACTATACAATGTAAAGAAAATATTCATCAGATTCTCTATTAGCATGACAATGTGTTTTCAAAGCTAATTTAGTTTGTTTTCTACTTTTTATATGTTCTCAGATGTACCTCCAGATTTCACAGACTGTTAGCTAAGACACAAAATACATCTACATACGGATGATAGCTAAAATAATTCTGAGTCTTTCAAGACGTCTTGTTTACTGATGTAATTGTCACATTACAATTCCCTATTGAGTGAAACACAAATAGGAAAGTTAGCATGACCAAGTAACGTCTTAAATAATAACACATTTTCTGGTCTGCTACTTGCCTACATTTGTGTAAACAGGAAAGGCGACAGGGTAGAGATGACTGGAGGATGCTAAATGTTAGCCAGATCATCTCAGCCCCAGGCCATCCTATGTCTCCAACGTCAAGGCATCCTGAGACCAAGAGGAGACCCTGTGTGCTCATCTATCCAGGACAGTCCAAGGATGGATGCAGCTGTTGTTGTCAGGGTCACCTCTTTTTGTTCTGGGAGTGTCCCAGTTAGGCTTATCACCGCACACATGTACAGTCAGCCTACCGAAGCCTGTCCCAGTGCGAATTCACAAAGTGAGGGTGGTTACATCAGACCACGTCCAGCACGTGGGGTGGCAACCAGTGCACACCAGGCTGTGAAGTGCACCAGATCACCTAGCGATGGTCCTCTGACATGCAAAAAAAAAGACCATCTCTGTTTCTCAAAGGCAGGGTGGGAGGATGGGAAGCACATAATAATAAGCCCCCTTAAAGATTGTTAAAGACACCAAGTACAGTGCATTCTGTGTTAATAAACATCTCTGGAAAGAAGAAAAGCACAGCCATCCGGTGTGAGGGCTGAGGGAGAGGGTGTCTGGGCGGAAGACAATGCGCCTTTTTGGGTCTCATTTAATTTTTTATAAACATTGTCTCTGACAAGGACACTCAAAAATACATCTCCATCATCTTCCTTTCTGGTAATTATCTCCCTAAATCGACACTGGGCTGCCAGGATCAAGTAAATATTGCCATAGTAACTAAAAGCATTTTTGGATGAAGGAAAGAATTCAGACACAACACTAGCCCCTGTAAATAATGCTGATTATAGGGTGCAGCCTTTTGTTGGGATCTATTCAACATAAACTGAAAAATTTAACATTTTAGTTCCTAGAAAAGAGACTGGATAAACAAGCACAGAATATCTGATACGATGGCCTATCCTCTCCTGAATTCATATCAGGGGAACTCCAGGTTTAAATAATATATTAAACATAGTCTAAAATGCAAATGAAGTTTTCCTCAATATCACGGTTGGCTATTAAGAGAAAGTGTAAAGGGTTATGATAATTTTAAAGTATTATGAACTACAGAAAACAAATAAAAAGCATTTTCAGTGAATATGCTCAATTCATTGAACTATTCTCTCACTCCACTTAACTACCCACATGTGTACGATAATGATTTATAGACATTATACCTAATTATGCATATTTGGGCTGTGTTAGAGTGCTAACAAAAGCTCTAGAAAGCAACAATTACCTCTGTTGCTTAGCTACATAGTTTAAAATATTCCTATTAAGTGCAGATCACCAGAGAGGCGGGAGTAACAAAAATGCACATGTGCACGACAATGCATTTCACTGTGATGCTGCCAACTGCTAGCGTTTTGGGTCCTTTCCAGTCTACATAATTGTTTGGTTCAACTGTTTGTTATATGCTAAAAGAAAATATTTATTAATTATTCCTCAGAAAAAGAGGAGCCCCGCCGGCAGAGGTGCCTACGTGCATCACGCGCAGGTTTCTAGGGACGTTTTGCAGACCTGCAAACCTACTTCCCACGTTCTCACCCTCCCGGGCCTCCACTGCAGTCAGAAGGAAGAAACTTGAGTTAGCTTGGGAGCCTGGCAGATCTGTGCTGCGGGGGGATGCCTGTTTCTTCCAGCTTTGTGACGGGTTACCTACGTTTTCTTATGCTCGGGTGTTTCTTTTCCTCTTGGGAGCCTGGTGACTTATTTTGTGCCTCTGCTCCTGGAATGACTAAAAAAGCCTGCCCTTAGAGTCAGGTGGATGTAAGTTAAGTTCTGACCCTGGTACTCCCCTTTTGCCAACTCTGACAGGTTGCTTCACCTGTATGAGTTTGGTGTCTCCATTCACACATTGAAGGAAACGGTTCGCTCTGTGTACACTGGTGACGCCCGTACCTGGAAAGCCCAACAGGCCAATGATGGCTCTCGGTCTACCTTGGGCAGGCTCTGAGTCTGTTTCTTCAAAACAAGAAAGAGTCAATGGTCTGTTGACTGGATGATCTAAGGATCTCTCCTGGGACAACAGACTAAGTTCTTGGCATAGGGTTCAGCTCTTTATTTCATGTCGTCTTCACCATAACTTCAAGAGAGGGAACTTACACTCTGGTTTACACAAGGAAAACTATAGTTCCAGAGAGGGAAGGGCTTGCTCATGACTATATGGCCACCAGAAGAGGGCCAAAACCCAGACCCAGTGCCTTCTGTAATGGGCTACTTAGACCCTACAGTTGTGGAACGCCATATGTCAGAGCTGGGGTTTGAGAAACACTGCAGCCCTTAGGAGAAACTACTAAGACTGCTTCTAGTCCATTATTTCCCCAAGTTTGGATATTTTCAAAAGTGAATTTATTTGAAGATACTAGAATGCAATTGTCAGGTCACTTTGAATGAGAAAAACAAGGATCCTCAAATTATAAATAAAAATTTGTAAGAACAAATAAACACCACAACAAAACAAAAACTAACAGATAACCTGACCTCAACTTTTTTAACACCACAATGCTAATAGTTCAAGACATTCATAAAGTCAATTCCTGGGAGGCATAATCAAATCATTACAGCCAGAGAGTAAGCCTTTCTCCAACCTGAGTGTATTTCAAAGTGTGGGGAGGAAGCAGCGCTGATGCTGGGATGCTTTCCTGATATATACAGTAAAAAATAAATGCTCTTGCCTGATACATAACAAACCTATATCTGTGTACCCCCTAAATCCAAAATAAAACAACACACAAAAATCCAAAAAAGGTTCACATTTGTTTGTTTATTTTAAGCCAAGATTTCTACTCTGAGTTGTCTGGTAAATCCTACAGGTATAGTCTACTGAATTCTTGCATAAGTGCTGACTGTCCTGCATCAAAACAACTTTTTAAAAAATCCTCTGAAAATCACAACACGTTTTGAGTTGACTTCTTTAGTATCGCTGGATTTTATTATAATTGAATTTCAGTTCTGTTTCTGTAACTAGCTAGATTACTTTTATAGGTAAATTAGTTTTCTAGGCCTCTTGAATATGTAAATTTTGCTGGGAATAAAAGCCCTGGAAAAATGAATTCATCTTTCGAAGTTATGAAATTGGAGTGGCTTATCTCTTATTTGCTATTTGTTGAGCAATGATATGTGCTAAAAGTATCATCGCAGCCCCTAGGACTTCTGTGACAGTGACAGATTTCCTCAAGTTGTGAGCACGTGCTTTTGCTGCTGGGGACTCTCACCCTGGCTTGGTTAACCGCTCTTCCAGCTGACTTTCATTTTCTCTGTCTGTGTCAGGAAAGCCAGTGCCACTTGTCTTCCCTTATGGTAGCAGTTTGCAAGCTCGCCTTCCTAGTGAAAAAGGTGGATCTGCATGGTTTTGCCCACCTTCTCTTCTATCCTCCTAATAACCACCTGTATCTCTTTGAAAGACAGCTGGTTGAGGGTATGAAAGTAGTTCGTGCCCCCAAATGGAATCAGACCTTCATAGGATTCGAGCTCATGACCTCAACATTCATGAGTACAGTATCCTCTCTCATCATCTGAGCATCCCAACTGAACACATAATTGAGCACACGCCTGGCCAGGTAAAGACCTTGCGTACCCACAGCAAACGAGAAGCTAGGAAAAAAGCTCCATGTTGGGCATGGGCACTTAGTTGTCTTACCTTCTCCCCCACCCCCCTGAGGGGGGAAGAAACGCTCAGAGGGCAGAAGGCAACTGAGAATCTTTGCTCTTTCAACTGGGGATAGTACCTGCCATTTCTGGAAATTGTGACTTCATAATTTGACATTGTAGGAACTTTGCCCAGTCTGCATTCTAAAGGTAGTTGGAGCTTGGAGACAATTGGATGATAGAGCACAGTTAGCTGGGAAATAATTATTTTGCTTGTCCTTCCAATTGTTTCCTAATTAGCTTCTTTCTAACACCTACAAGCTGCATTGCCTTCAGCATTAAATTTCGCTGGTCCCCAATGATCTCATCTGTGAAACTGCAACCATAATTATATGCACTCATGGCATTGTTGTATGGACTAAGTGATATAATTTATGTGCCTGGAATATATTAAAAACTTAAAAGTAATGGTCACTACTGCTGCAATGCCAGCGTATTCATTATTAGTAGTAATTCTAATATTAAATATAAAAATAGTTAACTTATTTTTGTAAACCTGCAAATAGATATCCCTTAATGCTTATAACTGAATGCTTAACTTAATATACCGCACATTTGAATATATTATAGTTGGTTAATATTAAACATCTATAGTGATCAACAGACTATTAAAAAAAGGCGGCAAGTCAGCTAGCCAGATCAGTTAGTCTTCGTGACACTTACAAGAATGTATTGATGCAAAAGCATGTCCATTTTCTCAACTGTTTGGGTGGTCAATGACAGCTAGATGCATTATACCTAAATTTAACCACAATGATTCAAGAACTTCCTCTAATACTAGAAGCAATCTACAACTTCCATGAATCAACAAATAAAAATTATCAGCTAAGAAAACAAATAAAAAAAAGTCCAGGATGATTGCAATTCTCAGATGAGCCATGAGGCTTTAAAGCACATGCTAAATACAGAAAAACAGAAAATGTACTTAAACACGTTCATATCAGAATACAATTTTGTTTTAGCAACAGAATCTCAAACTACTTCTAAGCCAAGATTACTGGAGACAGGATGATTCTGATCTGAGATCTGTGCTCACTCAGTCAATATGCTTTTACATATTTCCCAATAATTCTTGTGGTTAACTATAATTCAATATATAATAAATATTTATGATCTACAAATCTCACCACCTTTTGTTTGTATAATAAATACCTCTTTTTAAATAACAAATTTTAAAATAAATGGAACATTCATTTAAAAAATATTAAAAAGATAAATGTCACACACCACTGGCATTGGTCCTCATTGCTATTATCAATCGTATTTTTGGACTAAATAATACTATATATGTTGATAAAGCAAATAAAAAATACACATTTTAGTTACAAGCATATGTATGTATATATCTCATTGTCATTAATGAGCATTATATAGAACTTGATCTTTGAAAAGGTATCTTAAAGCTTAAATATATCCTTGAGTTTGAAAGAGTCTTTCAGAAATTGGACATCCATCTTTTTTTTTTGTTTTTTATAGAGACAAGGTCTCACTATGTTGCCTAGGTTGGTCTTGAATGCCTGGGCTTATGCAATCCTCTCACCTCAGTCTCCAAAAATGCTAGGATCACAGGCATAAGCCAGGGTGCCTGGCCTGGACATCCATCTTTTTAGGCAGACAAAGCACTCAAGAACTTTTTTCTTCCAAAAGAGGCATAGTTTAATCCTCTGATTTTAAAATGAATAGGTCAAGGATTCTCCGTTATCTAAACACCCTCCACAGTTATGGATTTAAAAATGGGCCCTCAGTAAATAGACGCTGAGTGAAATAAATGTTTGGTTTTGTTTCCAAACTCGAATATGTCTTTACAACCATACAAACCACATGTTCTACTTAAATTAAGACTGAGTTTTTGGTACCAAGGAATAGGTTTGGGCACTCCTCCTTGCTACCTGCAGTAGAGTGATCATGTGTTTCCAAGAAACCATCGTCCTCTGTCCTGTCACCGCGGTCTTCATGGCAGTCCATGTTTGGGCTGTAGTGTCGTGGCTTCATTAGCAGAGATTTCCTTTTGTTGACTGGGACACCCAAAGCCTGATCTTCAGCTCTCCTCTTCTTCGCCATGGAGCAATCATATGCAACACTGTAGTGATTGAGGCAAATTAAGAATACGGTAAACTAGAGTTTACTGCTGTTTGGCATTTGACTTTCATGAAGTGTTATCCAAAGCCTTTGGAAACTTGGGACTCAAGGTTTAGGGTTAGCTGTTGGCACTCACAAAAACAACCCATCTGTGGAATCCATCGAACTGTGTGGATTCTATTTTACTGCTTATCAGAAGAGTTAAAAAAAATCATCCTTAATCCTGAGTAAGCATATGTTAATCTGTGCTTTGCTTGGCACTACAATAAATACCCAGGGAGGGATGAAACAAGATTTGCACTGGTTTGCTAATCCTAAGAAACAGCTAATGTGAAAAATATACCACCAGATACAAAAAAATGTGTCCAGTATGGATAAATCACAAGGTTTTTCAAATAGTTGTTTGCTACTGAAACTGCTTATCGCTGCCACAGTTGTGGCTCAAACTTGAAATGTCACACATCTTGGGCTTTGACTTGAAAGGATGGAGGACGGAGTGAGGCGGAAAGCGACGCACATTCACTCAACCCATCTCCAGTCACCAAACACCCACAGAAAAGTCAAAAGATGCTACATGGCATCCTGCCTTTAGAGTCTCACCCATTTGGCACATAGAACAAATAAAAGGCGGAGGAATAAGATTGGATTTCACAAAAATGGACAACAGTTTATCCTCACTCCTGTTCATATGGTTTTATTTGGAAAGGCTCCTGACGGTGGCCCTTTCAAAATAGATTTCCTACATATAGCTCACTCAGAATTAATGCAGATCACTCCATGTGTGAAGTTAAGACAAACATTCTCTTGGCAAGATCCATGCAAATCAGAGGGTTGAGCCAACAGTGAGTCTACGAGAGATATTCATTAAATGCTCTTTGAAGAAAAATGCCAGAGCTTTAGATGAAAAGATCCAGAGGAGAGAATCCCAAACTCAGAGTAACAAGATATGACTTACTCCATCTCAAAAAGAGGACTGAATTCTCAGTAATGTTACTAAACAGAAGCCTTATATTGTTCTCTTACAAACATCAATGCAAAGATGCTGGCCTGCCTTTTCGTGAAAATGATTTGGTAAATAGTCACATATGAGCTCTTGAATTTAGAAGAGTAGATTCAAAAACTTCCAAGAGATGGGAAAAATGTTATTTACCTGTAAAAAAAAAAAAAGATTATGGAAGGGAGATCATTTAAGAGTTAGGAATTTCCCCGAAAATGATTAAAAATTGGATAACTGAAAATTACCCTGATGGATAGAGAAGAGTGAAGTTCTTTTTTTTTTTTTTTGAGTCGGAGTCTCACTCCACTGCCCAGGCTGGCGTGTAGTGGCACACTCACGGCCACCCCAGCGTCGACCTGCTGGGCTCAGGTGATCCTTCTGCCCAGTCTTCCAAGTAGCTGGAACTACTGGCATGTGCTACCATGCCCGGTTAATTTTTTTTTTATTAATTGTAGAGATGAGGTCTCGTCAAGTTGCCCAGGCTGGTCTCAAACACACAGGCTCAAGTAATCCACTCACCTTGGCCTCTCAAAGTGCTGGGATTACAGGCTGAGCCACCGAACCTGGCTAAGTGAAGTTTTTAAATCAACTAATGTGCTTTCACAGAATTTCTCTGATGAACCCACATTTAAAGTGGCATGTACAGAAGATGGAGCAAAAGAGAATATAAACAGATGATCATGAGTGCAAGCACTGCCTTTATAAAGACTATGCAGAAAATAAGAACCTACATGGACTGAATCTGCTGGTTTGTCAAGGAAAACACAGAAAATATGATTATGATGTAATGAAATCCAGTAGAGGAGAGCAGAACTATCCTTGCCATTGCTTTCTTTGTCAAAAGAGCCTGGCTTTTGAAGAAGGACAGGCAGAAGAAACATATTAAAGGATAATAAAGCTCCTAAGTATGTGAAGAGAATTCAAGAGGTTCCTTAAACTAGTTAACATCTCCTAAATCAAATGAATTTCTACCCAAAAATTTTTTAAAGAAGATATATATGTAAGATCTAAGCCACTATCATGATCTAAGAGGATCCGTAGAAAATGAGAGGGCAACCTCTCCGGGGCCCATCCCACTGTGGGAGCTTTTCTGTCCTCTTGATAAATCCTGCTTTCTCAAAGAAAAGAAAATGAGAGGCTCCTATGTCATTCAGATATTAAAACAGGGAAAGAAATGGATTGTCGTGATCACTAAAATCCATGGTGATTTAAGTGTATTGGAAAAGAGGCTAGCAAAGTGTATTGAAATGAAAATTTGCCAGGATCCTGATTTCAGTTCTTTTGCATAAATACCTGGAAGTGGGGTCACCAGGTCACATGATAGTTCTATTTATCAGGAACCTCCATACTGTCTTCTATGTTAATTGCAGTACTATTCATAATAGCCAAGATCGAAAGCAACCTAAATGTCCACAAATAGATGAATGAATAAAGAAAATTGGGTGTATATGAACAATGAAATAATATGCAGCCTTGCGAAAGAAGGAAATACTGCAACACGCAACAACATGGGGGAGGCTTGAGGATGTTATTTTAAGTGAAATAAACCAGAAACAAAAAGACAAAAACTGTGTGACTCCACTTACACACGGTATCTAAAATAGTCAAATTCATAGAGTCAAAGAGTTGTTGCCAGGGCTGGAGGGTGCGAAAATGAGAGTTACTTATCAACACACATATAAAGTTTCAACCAAGCAAGACAAATAAGCTCTAGAGAGTGACTGTACAATACTGTATCTGGAGTCAACAATCATGTATTGCACAACTTAAAATTTTATTCAGAGGGTAGACCTCATGTTGAATGTTCTTACCACCAAAACAAAAAACAGGAGGCCTTTAAAAAGATTTGTTGGCACCAGGAAGCATTGATCAATGAGACCTAGAGTGGTGAGGGTGGTTAAGGAAGGATTGGTTAGTCAGAAAAATGTCACCTCTTTCTCTGAGGATTGGGATGGTGAATGGGGCTGAACTCACACTATCTGTAAGATCCGTAGAAACTGTATCTTGTTCCTATTATCACATCTCTCCTCCATGTTGCCAGATCAGGACAACAGATGTGGAGGCTTTGACCATTCATGGAAGTAGAACCTGGATAAAACAGTGACCTCTCTAACTATAGAAAGAGGCCCGCTGCAGGACCTTGTCCAGCGATTTGCGTGAGAATGCACACGGCAATCATTCAACCTGAAGATGATTCCAAGGTGCAGCAATGAAAAACACATTATAAAAAATAACTAAGACCCTTCCAAAGTGTCCATAGCCTGGAACAGTGGGACGAACCCAATGAGTTGACATCTGATGACAAGAAAATCAAGTTCGATATTTGGGTCCTAATCATTGTGCAAGTGTAAGACGAAGGTAATACGTAAGGTTTTAGCAAAAGCACAGGTTTAGCTGACAATAAGTTATTGTTTGATAATAAGGGCATGCAAAATTACTTAAATAGTACTGGCTGTGTAATCTGCAACATTTAGTTGAATCTTTTGAATGTCAAATTCCTTATCTACAAATGGGGAAAATAATTTCTATCTCACAAGTTTTGTGGATAAAAGAGACAACATCGATTTGGTAGTGACAAGAACAGGTAAAGACAGAACTGTTCTGACTCCCAGTCCAAGGTTCTTTGGACACCATCAACATTGGCTAATGCTGCCACTTTGCTACATCACAAACTCTCTCCCTGGCACACCGCAGAGATTTATGCATGCATGTATGTCCACAAATGCAGTCTGCTTTTTAACATACTATTTATATTTACATAAATTGCATTAGAATTAATCATAACATTTGCTTTAAATCTTACATTCTGTGCATTTCTCCACTGGAAAGTACCCACGGCCCAGGCAGCATTTGGAGCTTAAAATGAAAGGCTTTATAATAAATATTACCCTTTGTGTGTGCATGGAAAATGGTCCCTTTTCCTAGTTTTCCCTGAGGGCACACTATTTTGGCTTTATTGTGACACTTCACTGTGACACCGCAATGAGGGAAAGCCATGCTTTACATGTCACTGAGAGAAATGCCACAAAATGCTAACATATCTTCTCAAGGTTGCCAGAAATCATTTCCACTGGGTTGTGTTTTCCCATCTGCAGAGCTCTGAAATGTTAAAGAAATAAATGAGCTCTATTATCTATATTTTTCTAGTAGATGAGAAAGAAAGAGAAAAAAAATACACTCAGCCCTGCATTTATTGTTCTATTCAATCAAACTGTTGCTTTAAACACCCAGAGTACTCCAGGGAACTTTATCAATGCACCAAATATCTTTCAACCCTATATTTCAGGTTTTGATTTTATTAAAATGTCGTTAAAAGATCAGTATTTTTACCTGGGGGAAACTTTTTTGGTTACATATTTTAGAAATGCTTTCATTTAGAAACTTGAATTATAATTTATTGCCTTTGCTGACAATATATGACTGAATTTTTTTTTGAAAAATCACTGAAGCAAACCATAACTAGATAACATTAATGATAGATACAGAGTTAGAAGTATGTTTACAGGTCAAATTCATTGACTTTTCAGCTTTCAGAAAAGATACAGCCTAGGAAACTCTGAATCCCCAAAATCTGTCCAATAAGCAGAGGTTTTCAGCTTATACTTTACAGTAATAGATTCTCAATGCAGTTATCATAAGATATAGAGCAGATTTTCAAAAATATAAGTTTAGCAATAGATATATTATGTGTGCATGCCCAGAAAAGAATAAAATGGAAAAATAAATGGCGATTATGAACACCTGAGTCCAAGGAAAACATTTACACGCTCCAACATTTTCATGGAGAATTCATAGCAGGTATTACTACTGATTTCTTCTAATTAGGCAGAACACCACGGACTCATTGAAAGGGGCCAGGAAGTATGAATTTGAATTAAGACTAAGAAGATTGGCAGGAAAAAAACAAAGGTATGATGATTGAGAAAGAAAAAATTAAGCTACTATTATTTGTAGAGGTGGCTTGTGTTTGAGGAAAATCCAAAATAATCTACAGATACAA